GAAACCCTGTATATGAAGAACATCTTCATTTATCCCACAAACCTTCTTGGGCATGTAGTCTAGATCTATATTTTGTAAATGAGAAAACCAAGCAGGAATTGGCTGAAGAATTTTTCCCTAGGCCATCAGAATAATGCTCTTATCCACTTTCTGCAATACATTCTCTCTCCAAAAATATAGTGGGTACCAGAGCATCCAGAACATCCCTGGATCAAGCCTCCAGAGCATCCCTGGACCAAGTCTCCAGTATAATGTGAATTCTTCCTGCCAACCTGGCCCCACAACCACATCAGCCCCAAATGAACACACGAGACTTATCTTAATTATGAAACTGTTGGCCGTTGGCTTGGGTTTCTTATTGGCTAGCTCTGTCTTAATTATTAACCCATAATTATTAATCTAAGTATTCCCACATGGTCTTCTCTTACCAGAGAAAGGTCCAGGGACCTGTTACTCCTCTGGTATCCTACATGTCAACTGCTCAGTGTGTCTGCAGAGAAGAGAAGAGATTTCCTGTTTGTCCCTGCTTATATCATATTACTGACCAGTTACATTACTTCCTGTCTGTCTATTCAGGCCTCCAGACCTCTACGGTTAGCAGTGACAGTTTCTGCCCAGCTACATCACTTCCTGGGATCACATGACAACTCCTCTTTGCCTACCCTTCCCAGAATCCTCCTTGTCTCCTAGTCCTACCTATCATCCTGCCTGGCCAATCGTGTTTTATTCATCAACCAATAACACAAACATACACAGAAGAAAACATTCCCCATCACTCCAGAGCATCCCTGGATCAGGCCTCCAGAGTGTCCCTGGATCAAGTCTCCAGAGTGTCCCTGGATCAAGTCTCCAGAGTGTCCCTGGATCAAGCCTCCAGCGTTTCCTGGATCAGGCCTTGCCTGAAGAAGATCTAGTCCTGAGTTTTTCACTTGGAAGTCAACTCTTTCCCGATAATTTTAACTCCTGTACCTTTCCCCAGAATAGCACTCAATGACAATGTCACAGAGGAGAGGGGACTAGTGTTCCACTAAGTCTCAGTTCCTGATAAAAGCCCTGAAGTGGTGGGACACGTGGCATGAAGTATGATGAGAGGCAGGCATGACACACACAGCACTAATTACCAAGTCAAGATCAAGGCAGGGGTGGGTCTGTGTGCTTGCCTCATGAGGAAGTGGTTATTCACACAGATGACAGGTGGCAGGAGATGTTCCTGTCTGGGACTGCTCAGAACCACACAGAAAAGACCACTGGTCCCCCCTTCATACCAGAACGACTGGAAGGACAGGCTCCAATCTAAACAAAGGATAGGGTCCCACCAGCCAAACCAGCCACTCACTTGGCAGACATTGTCTACCATGTGCTCTACAAAGAGCCAGGGCAGTGAAAGAGGCCTGCTTCCCACCTCTGGGGCCCCTGCCTGGGGCACCGTCACTTTCCAGTGCATGCTGGTGTTTTGGAATCGGAGTGCTGCACTGCAGGCCACTGAGAGCTGGAGAGATGTTTAATCCAGACCATAACCTCAGGAATTTCCCAGAAAAGAGCCATGGAAGAGCTTCGAGCAAACATCCCTCAGCCATCACTTTGGTTTGGAAGTAGTATAGCAGGTATGTGAGCTTCAGCTTAGGAAATAGGGGTGTGTCTGGGGAGTGTTCCATGGTCCTGGGCCAGCCTCCCTCCAATACTCTGCTATGAACAAGAGCCAAAGCAATCCAGAAGAGCTCAGGTAGATTCTAGACTATCACTCCACTCAAGCCCTGAAAATAACACCAATTTGGATGAAGAAAAAAGAAACTGCATTTACTTGGGGCTAATTAGGATTGCAATCTGGGAAAATAGATTCAAGCAGTCCTAAAAAAATGGAGTCTGGGCTGGTGGGATGGCTCAGTGGGTAAAGGTGCTTACCACCAAGCCTGAAGACCTGAGCTCAGTTCCTGGAACCCTTATGGTGGAATGAGAGTCTGCAAGCTGTCCGCTGACCTCCACATGTGCTCCAGTAGGGGATCAAAAGCATAGCATACAGAATAGTCACATCTCAGAACACAAACTGTCTCTGAAATCACTCAAAAAGATGATTTGTAGCTGGATATGTAATCCCAGCATTCAGGAGGTTAAGGCTGGAGATAGTGAATGTAAGGGTAAAAAAAAAAAACCCTTGTCTCAAGAAAGAAAAAAGCCAGGTTTTGGTGGCTCACACCTTTAATCCCAACACTCGGGAGGCGGATCTCTGTGAGTTCGAAGCCAGCCTGGTCTCCAAAGTGGGTGCCAGGACAGGCTCCAAAGCTACACAGAGAAACCCTGTCTCGAAAAAAAAAAAAAAAAAAAAAAAAACCAACAACAAAAAAGAAAAATCCTGGAATCCAGTTGTAGAGAAGGAGTGATGAACAAAGGGGTCAAGACCATGCTGGGAAAACTCACAGAAACAGTTGACCTAAGCAAGTGGGAACTCATGGACCCGAGTCTGACAACTGGGGAACCAGCATAGGACCAAACCAGACCCCCTGAATGTGAGTGTCAGCTAGGAGCACTGGGCAGTCTATGCGGCCTCTGGCAGTGGAACCAGGATGTATCCCTAGTGCATGAACGGACTTCAGGAGCCCATTCCTCCGTGGAGTGATACTCTCTCAGCCTAGGTACACAGGGGAGGGCCTAGGCCCTGCCCTAAATGACTTGACAGATTTTGATGATTCCCCGTGGAAGGCCTCACCCTCCCTGGGGAGTGGATGTGGGGTGGGATGGAGGGGTGAGTGGGGTGGGAGGGGAATGGGAGGATGGGAGGGAGCAGGAACTGGGATTGGTATGTAAAATAAGATTGTTTCTAATTTAAGTAAAATTTATTTAAAAAATGCTGTATTCGAAAGCAAATAAATGAAGAAGTAGGAATGGAGAGTGATGGGAAAGAGTGACATGGAGTTTTCCTGGACCTCGAGACCCTGAGATGCTCCAGGGAACCCCCTGAAGTGTTTAAGGAACTGAGGAAAAGAAGAAAGCAGAGGTGCAGGGAGGTAGGAGCAGCAGGTCAGGTCACCTGATGCCTGACAAAAATCATCCCAGCCTTATTGTGAAAGCCTTAGAGTCCCAGGGGTACAAAGGTGTGGTCCTGGGGAGAGGACCGTGACCTAAAGCAGACCTGGCCATCAGCAGCTTCCCGTGAGGTGATTCAGTTTCAGTGTGCAGCCCAGGCGAGACCAAAGGCTGGAGAGCCACAAAGACCCACAAACCCAGCCAATTGGCAGAGTCCATGGCAATAGAAGCCAACCATCTTCTCTCGGTGCCTGGCTAAGCAGACAAAAGCCTCTTCCCTCTCACGGAGCCAGAGTCCAGCCTGATTCTGAAGACAGAATAAAGATTCTAGATGTGCACTCTATTAGTGATAAGTCCTAACAATTTATGACACTCCAATAAACAAGTCAGTGACAATGGCAGGCAAGCTGTAGTGACAATGGCCACAGCAGGACCTTCCAAATAAACCTCCCATTACTGAAGCCAACGGGAGCCTGGTGGTGACCAGAGACAGAAAGCAATCATGAGAAGACAGGGGGAAGGGCCAGGCTGCTTTACGTATGTCAGTCCAAACTGGTCTGGCAGCCCCTGGCTTCACTTTCACATCAGCTGGAGGCTGAAGACCCAGGGCACACTAGACAGGGGACGAGATGGGACTTTGACTATTGTAGGTAGGAGACAGAACTAGAGGCTTTTCCCTGAAGTTAAGGCAAGTGACTCCCAGAAAGGGTGTCTCAACTGAAAGAGGAATTGTGAGCTGTGCATTTGGTCTCAGAGCATTTGTGAGTGTGTGTGTGTGTGTGTGTGTGTGTGTGTGTGTGAGAGAGAGAGAGAGAGAGAGAGAGAGAGAGAGAGAGAGAGAGAGAGAGAGAGTGTGTGTGTGTGCGCGTGCGCGCAACAGGTTCACTGAGCACAGCAGCTCAGATAGATACACAGCCTCAGGTGGCTCTGGCACCAGAGCACAGCTGATGAGGAAGATGAGGCCAAGGAGGCAAATCAGAGGAAGATACCCTGACCAGGATGGATCTGGATCTCCTCTTTACAGTTTGGAAGTGTGCTCATTCTGGAGAGGCTCTCACTTTTACAAGGTCCCAAGTGGATCAGGAGAAATAAGAAAGATAGGCAGGGACCTACCTATTCATCAGATGTAGGGATCTAGGCTGGGTCTACCCCCATCCCACTTGCCCATCTCATGTGAATGAACAGGTACTCACTGACCCACCATGCACAGGAACATAAACAATGTGTACATATGCATATACAATGTATGCAGCTGTCCTCGCACTCTGCCACGGATTAATAGATGCCCCCTCTACACACACGCATTTGGCTCCTGAGAATGGGAACGCTGTATTTGCACAAGTGACAGCTGTATATATAAACCAGAAAATGTGGTTTGGGTTCAAAGAGTAAAGTGCTATGCACACCTGTCAGGATGGGCCATCTTGTCACAAACTCCATGAGCTCTAGTAGGGAAGCCTGGTGACCTCTGAGGAGGGACAGAGAGGCCAGAATGCAGGGGAGGATTAGGAGGACATGGACTCAGTGACACAGACTGGCAACCCACATAGCTCCTGTTTATTCCTGACATCACCAAGCCCAGGAACTTTGGAGGAGATTAGGGTTGGGCCACGGTGGAAGTGTGGGTAGCTGAGCTCTACATTCAGTCTCCTCAGCCCACAGCTGTCTCTGTGGTGAAGCTCTGAGAGCCAGGGTGTTTTCAGAGGTTCTTCTGTAGAGGGGGAGCCTTTCCTGAGGCTCATGCCTGGTTCTCACTGCACCCCGCTGTACTATGAAATCTGCTGTCTCCTGCCCAGTGTCCCCAAGCACTCCCGGAGAGAGAGGCTGTCCCATCTTCTCTAAGGAATAAGAAAGTTCTTCTCCAAGTTCACCGGCAAGACCTTTGGGGCCTGGGAGACCTCAGGGAAGGAGAAGTGGGAAGCAGAGACTCCTTAAAGTCTTCTCCCTCAGCAAGCCCTGGCCTAGGGCCCTCCATCACATCCACCATAGTCCTCTGACTCGCACCTGGTCAGCTCCCAGCCCTTTCCCCAGCCTGCCGCCTATCGAGAGCCAGCTGGAGGGCATGCCTTATAGTCTCCATGTTGTTCAGGACATTGTATCGGCTCAGGTTCACCAACCGATCAAACTCCTTGCGCTCATAGGTGAAGTCCATCATTCCATAGGGGGTATCTGGCCCATTGATGATAAAGTCCCCAAAGGCCTTTTCCTCGGTTGTTTGTCGTTTCACACCTGGGGGTGGGAAAAGCAAGGCTAGACTGGAGTACTCTATGAAACTGGCTGGGAGCTGATGGTCCTGGATACTTTCCCTACCCAGGAAATCTGACTTGCTCTCTGGGAGAGACCATCTTCACTCTGGACCCCTTAGAAAGAGATGGCTCAGCGTGAACATTAAAGTCCAGGCAGTGGAGGGCATAGTAGTTAGCCCAGGTCCTCCAGGAAGCTAGCATCCTATCCTACTCCCATCCTACCCTGCAGGTCAGAGCAGGCTTGGGACTTGCCCTTACCTGGGGCCAGATGTGTGCGAAAGGTCCTGTTGACAAGGGGGAAATGCAGCACAATGGGCGAGCAGGGGTCATCGGCCTTGGTGAACAGATAGCACTCACAGGGGTCCTCAAGGTCCTTGGGGTCCACCTCAATCCTGGGGAAGGGGATTCCTCGGTCCAGGCAGTATTTCTCTGTCATCTGCAAGGCCTGGGCAAAGAGGCAAGTGTCTGGTCCCCAACTGGACTTGGGCTTCAGCTAGCTCTGTCTCTGGATGACTGAGTTCCTTTCTGAGCTACCTTTCTATTTGCCAAATAAAGTTGGAAATAAGTGTCTGGTGAGAGCAAGGTGAATTAGCAATAATTAGCAAAGGTCAACCATCAAGCGAGTCCCTCTGGACCGCTTATGTCAGCCTCATTCCTCCCTTTAACACAGCTGTCCCTTCTCCAGTCCCTCCTCTGTTCCCTGTTAAGGGGCGATCACAGGGGCGTGTTGGAGGGCTTTTATCTATTCTCCAATCCTAGGCAGGCACTGGACAGGAAGGATGAAGAAGTCAAAGAGAGACCACCAACCCCACACTTGGGCAATGGTGTCCATCCAGTGCCCTAGGGGTTTTGAGGTACCCTTTGCAGATGTCTCCCTAAGAGGACTTTCATGGCTAGTGTTACCACAGTAACCAAGGACAGAGACCTCAGACCTACCATGGAGCAGGGAAATCCTAACACAATTATGCAGGTTCTAGAACACAGTCTAGAAGACAGCTGAGACCCTCTTTACACACTCTCTCATAATCCCAGACTCCTCTAGCTGGAGACCTGGACTGTCAACCATGCTTAAAAGGCACCCACCACCAGAGGTAACACCCAAACACCCAGCTCGGCCTCTCAGCAGAGATTTCTTCTCCTCATCCCCCCTACTCACTTTAGGAGATCCCTGCTTCCCTCCTTACCTGAAAGGGGGCTTCCAAGGAGTAGTCAAAAGACACAATGAGGTCCACAGCCCGTCGGGGCTGCAGGATCAGTGGGAATGGTGAATTAATGGCAAAACCTGCGTCTACTAGACACAGGCAGTCCCTCATGGGTGTGAGCTGGTTGGGGCAGGCATCAGGGTGTCTGTCTGTAAGGTGCACAAGGATAAATTCAGTTGCTCTTTCTGGTGACCCTCTTCTCTTTGCATCTACAGTCACGTCTCTAAAATTCTCCTGCCTCCCTCATCTTAGCCCTTCCAACTTTTCAGCAACCAGAAAAGCTTCCTCATCATCACCTCCTCCAATATCCAGCTGAAAGCCAATGCTGACCCCAGTGAGCCAGCTGTACATATCGGAAGGATCTGCGTACTGTTCCCTCCTCCCACAGCACACACACCTTTCCAGGCCATAAACTCCTTGCTAGCCACGTAGTCCTTGTGCAGGCAGAGACCGCGGGTAAAGTTAAAGTTCTGGGCATAGGTAATGCGGGAGGTAAATATGTCCAACACAGCCTGAGAGAAGGGACTCTGTGGGGTGAAGCGCCTGGTACGCAGCCGTGTGGAGTCCTGCGACCGGAACTTTGGGCAGTCATCTAGGTGGGGGCAGTGAAATACAGTGAGAAGTGGGACCATTCTTTGTCCATCTCCCTCATTCTTCATCCCTTTGCCAGGGCCCTGGTAAGTGGTGGTGGCTGCACATGGTCTCTGCTCTCACCTGTGACATTTACTCTCTCTCTGTACCAGTCCAGGAAGCCCAGGCTGGAGCCTCCCATCTTCAGAGAGATCTCATTCAGGCTGGCTGCGAAAGCACTGCCCCACATGCCTACGGAGACAGCAGAGCCGCATATCACAGCCTGGCTCTAGCCCTGCCAGTCTCCAACCTCCAAGCACAGACTCACCCTGCAGGTAACAGAGGCGGGGCTCAGGCCAGAGCCGCAGCAGCCGACCCATGAAAAACTCGGAGCCAAAGAGTTCAGTGGGAACATAAGCTCCATACTTGTGGAAGCCGATCTCATAGGGGGTGAACTCGCACCACTCTGGGGAAAACAAAGTAACCAGAGTCAACCCAGAGGCAGCAACTCCACCTTTCGCCACGGTCCCTGCTTGGGAGCACCTCCCACTTATATCTAATAGCCCCGCCCTCCTACCACCATCTTCCTGTCTCCCTTCCTTTGTGTCCACACCCAGGCACCTGCAAAGTCTTCCCCACTGATGTTTGTGTGGACATTGATGCTGGCATAGATGGGGTAAGGGTTCTGACCCTGGCTGACTATTTCTTGCTGGTCTGACAGCTTGGCAGGGTTTTCCTGGGCAGGAGAGAAAGCAGACAGCTTGGCTTTGGGGGGAGTCCTGTTCTCTATCCCCAGAGCTTGACATCAGCACCCTGAGGGGTATGACACGCTCACAAGCGATATGTCCTGTTGTCAAGGCCAGAGTGTAGCTTTAGGCTGTAGCAGAGCTCAGATCCCTGTGGGGTTTTCATAATTCCAGTGCCTCTGGAAATATCCTCAACCACTTTTTTTTTTTTTTTTTTTGTCATTCCAGAAAGCATATCAGAATACAGAGAGCTTAGGGGATCATTGAAAAGCCAGTCTAATTTCCTTACAAAAATCACTAGGAGATGTAACTTCTTAGAGTAAGATACCACAGGTGACACACACTCTGCCAATAGCCTCACACAGGTCAGCTGCCCTGAATCTTGTGACTGGATCAGACTGGGCCTGCAGTACTAGGAGCAACCGCCTGGTGGCGTTGGCTCAGGGTTGCTTTTGCCAATGGGTGGGCATGGCGCTGTACCTCAGAGGCAGGCAAGAACGATTTTCAATACATGCTTTTCCTGGGCTCTACCCCAGGAGTAAGACAGGAATAAGGCAGAAGGAAAGTGTGGAAAGGGAGCTGGGATGGGAAGAATGTCGTCACTTCCTGCTCTCTTACCCCCTGGTTTAGGAAATACTCAATGACGAGACCCCAGAAGTCAGTGAGGTGCATGTTGTGGCCTCTGCTCTCCCAGACCTCCTTTTCCCGGGAGTAGTATTGCAGCTGCTCCGTGGACAGCAACCCTATCTTACTGCTGCAGACTCGAGCCGAGGCACGTTCAATGGGGCCCTGTAAAGGCTCCTGGGACCAGGATGGATCCTTGTAGAGTGTAGAGATGCACCTGTGGACAGAAAGGATGTCTGTGCGGCAGAGGAAGCTCCTCCTCGCCACATACACCTGCAGTCCTGCTCCCTCACTCAGAAGTCCCTGGGACCCAGCCTCCTCTCACTCATGCTGACCCCCTTGAAGACAGGCTCCCTGCCCCTTATCAGAGACTCTCTCCCATCTCCTGACCCATCTCTTGGACACCCTCACCCACTCAGAGCTCATGTTCGATCTGTATTCTGCCCCACCTCACTTACCAGGTAGACCCAGAAACCCCGCTCAGGTAGGTCACAGCATCCAGAAGGCCAAGCTCCTGCAGCCCCGATAGGCTGCCATACAGGGCAGTCATGGCTCTGGTTCCACCCCCAGAGCCTAACACAGCGATGACAGGTACCTGAGCATAGCAATAATTTGATAGCAACAATACTTGATATATTTACTGCTTATCCACAACAGGCATTGTCATAAGCACCTTCCATGTATTAGCTCACCGAATTCTCCCAGTGAGCAACGCCCCCATTTTACAGATGATGAAACTGATGTGTAAGGCTAACCAATGTGCCCAAGAGCATGCAGTAAGGATGGCTGCCAAACTCAAGAATGAGAGCCCGCAGATGACTTGTCTCTTTTTAAAAATTCTGTGTGTTATGTGTGGTACATGTGGGTATACGGGGCTCTAGGCTTGTGTGCAAATGAGTACATGTGCATCTGGAGGCCTGGGGGTGATACTGGGTGTCATTTTTAGTTGCTCTCTTCCTATTTTTTTAAGATGCATTTATTTATTTATTATGTATACAGTGTTCTGCCTGCATGTATCCCTGCAGGCCAGAGAGGGCATCAGATCCCATTACAGATGGCTGTGAGCCACCATGTGGTTGCTGGGAATTGAACTCAGGACCTCTGGAAGAGCAGCCAGTGCTCTTAACCTCTGAGCCATCTCTCCAGCCCCCTCCATCTTATTTTTTGAGACATTGTTTTTCACCAAACCCAGACCCACATGGATTTGGCTAGACTGGCTGGCCACTAATCTCCAAGCATCTGCCTGTAACCCCCTCTCCTCCAAGGCTGTGGAGATGTGTGCTACCATGCCTTGCTTTTTCATGTGGGTGCCAGGGATATGAACTCAGACAAGCACTTTATTGACTGAGCCTTCTCCTCAGTCTATTGTTTTGTTTTGTTTTCTGAGATGGTCTCATGACCTCAAACTCATTATGTAGCCAAAGATGGTCTTGATCTTTCTACTTCTGCCTCCGAAGTGCTGGAATTATAGTCATGTACCACCATGCCTGGATTCAGAGGAAGCTCTTAGCCATTATTTCAGAAAGGTATTTATTAACAGGTATATTTGATTCCCCAAACCCAGTTAGCAATGTGAATACTTGGTCCTGGCTGGCTCCTGGTAGTTCTGTACTGTGTGTGGGACCTTCAGTGACATCTTTGGCCTTTCCTCAATATATGCCGGCAGCATCCTCTACATCCATCCACCACTTACAACAAAGCCTCCCCTGGCACTGATAAATGCCCTCTAGGGGTTGGGGGACAAAATTGCCTGCAACTGAGAACCACTCTGCTGAAGTAATAGAGACTAGCAAGCATCCCTGGCCTTCCCCCAGACATAGGACACCCAAAGTTTGAGGCTCTCCTTAGGATCAGAGGTGCCTTGTGGGATTAATTTTTCCATGAAGGGTTGACACAGTCTCCCAAGACTTCTGATTCCTTTTCTATCTTCTTTGCTTCCCCTGGCCCTGATCACTGGGGTCTGTTGTTAAAGAGTGCTGGATGAATAGGAACAGACATCTGGCACCCAATGGCCACATCTGTTGACCGAATACAAATCTAGGTTGTTGGCAGTGCTGGGCAGTGCTGAGCAGGACAGTGGTCCCACATCTACTGTACACATGTGGCAAAGAAGATGACACCAGCCTTTTCCTGGCTTATTCTACTGGTCTACCTCTTAGTACCCCTGTCTTCTTGCCTCCCAGTCTAAGGCCATCTGGTCCTTACCTAAGAGATCCCACAGAGCCTCTACTTCTGGATCCCTTTGACCACTGTCCAGTTGTACCCTCTCAAAATTCACTGTTGAAAGCCCTATCCCCTTACATGTGACTGTTTGCAGACAGAGCCTATAAGGAAGTCATATAGTTAGAATGGGGTAATGGGGAGGGCCTCCATCTGATAGGACCAGTGGCCTGCTAAGAAGAGGAAGAAGGCTGGACATGGCAGCACATCCCTGGAATACCAGTACTTGGGAGACTGAGGCAGGAGGATCACTAGTTCAAGACTAGTCTGAATTGCTTATGAGGCCAGCCCTTAGCTATGCAGTAGTAATACTTAGCTCATAAAAAGGGGGAATTGGGGGAAATGGATGTGGTGGTACTTGCCTTTAATCACTACACTCTGGAGGCAGAGGCAATTAGTTCTCTGTGAGTTTGAGGTCAACCTAGTCTACATAGCAAGTTTGAGGTCAGCCAGGACTACATAGTGAGATTCTGTCCAAAAACAGGGGTCGGTGTAAGAGAGCTCCTACTCCTGAGTGTGCAAACACACATGCACACATGCAATACACATGCACACATGATTATATACATTCACACAGACACACACTCATGCACACACAGCAACACACTCATACAGACACACATTCATACATGCATAAACATACATACATTCACACACATACACACACACACACACAGAGAGAGAGAGAGAGAGAGAGAGAGAGAGAGAGAGAGGAACTGCCATGTGACACCAGAGCAAGAAGGCAGCTCTCTACCAATCAGGATGGAGAGCCCATGAGAAAATGAATTTATGTTGTTTAAACCACTTAGTCCGCAGTATTCTGTTGTGACAGCCCACAGCTAGGACTGTGTAAGTCTTAACTCTGATTCTCAACTGCTGGTTGTGTTCATCATCTAGGGGAACAAGCCCTGTTGTTCTCTTCCTCCTCTGCTGCCTATACTTCCTTCGGGCTTCCTGTCATCTCTCATCCACACAAGACCCCACAAGAGGACAGGCTGGATTTGGTCAAGTTCATCTTCCATCCCATACCTGATCACAGTGTGGAGCCTCACTCAATCCCATCACTCGCTGCAGGGCCTTGGATGCCACCTGCTTCCTCCGGTCCAGAAATTCCAACTCCCCATCGCAAAGCTCAAAGCCAAGGCGCAGGTCTAAGTCCTCTGAGCTGATTCCAATGGAGTGGATGGAGTATGGAGAACCTTGAGCCCAGTCCATTTTCCATAGGAACAAAGCCACGCTTGGGGGGGGTCCCCACAGAAAACACCCTGGGACTTCCCACTAGTACCAAAAAGGTGGTCTCCATGGCCTGACCCAAGTGGGCAGGAAAGCAGAGCCCACTGGAGTATTTCCCACTTCTAGCCAAACCCCACAGCCTTCCACCAGCAATCCCTCCTCACCTCACTTCTGCCTTCACAGTCAGAGTCACCTCCTGGCCCTGAAGGAGACAGTTATTCCCTCATCCTTGAGCAAGTAGAGTCAGACCTCCAACTGTGGCCCTCAGGGCTCAGGTAACTGACCAGTGTGCGCCCCAGATCTCTCTTAGTGATCACAGGGCAGGCAGGGGCCCCCAGCACCAGAGGACACCTTACCTCCTCCAGGACGACTAAGTGCTGCTCCTCCTGGCCGAGGGGCAGAGAGGGGAGCAAGATGCCTGCCTCACCCAGCTTGCTGGTCTGAACCTCTAGCTCATCATTTGGGCCACCCTGTGGAGAAGAGTACCAAGGAGCAATGTAGGGGGATGCCTCCTGGACACTTTGGAGTCTCCTCTAGGGGGCTCATTCCATTTTCTTCCCTCTGCTCACTCACCTGAAGAACCAGGAGCCTTTCTTCCAGCTCTATGTGCAGTTTGGGGCTCAGCACTGGGTTTACGTGGAAGGTGAAGGTAGGCGCTAGACCTGGCTCCGTGGTCTGCTGCAGAGGCACTAGCTGTGGCTTCTCATAGGCCCCAGGCACTGCCAGCTGGATCTGCCTCGAGCCTGAGGGCAGAGGTCCAGTGAACGTCAAAGTAGGTGGGTGTAAATGTGGCACAGGACAGAGACACTCCAGATGACAGCAATTCCTCCTCTTCCCCAGGCCCCTAGCTCCCATTCCCCTCCTCACTCAAGTACCTTGACCACAGGAAAAGAACCATGGAGAGGTCTTGGGTTCTATAACCAATTAGCCCTGGTATAGTGTGGGAAACACACAAATGCTAGAGGGGAGGGAATGGCTTAGCCCGTAGCCTATGGGGCTGGTGATTTTAATTTTTTAATTTTAATTACCCAGCATATAAATAATTGTATAAATATCCATTCATTATTACACCAATTACCCATTTTCAACTGTTAATATTCCCAATCTCTTGACTCCATTCATGCATCATGTTCTTTGCTTTAGAGGAGGTTTGTGGCCATAAAGAACACAGAAATACGCTGCAAGTTGCTGTGGCCTTAGCTTTCAAAAGTCTAAGAGCTTGTAAGAATGTAGGGTCTCAGAAGAGGAGGTAGAAGGCAGAATGGCATTCTGGGTACAGAGAGAGATGGCAGAGACAGCCGCAAGGCAGGGACTTGCGATGTGAGTTCTATGTGTGGGTTTTAAGTTTTTAAACTTAAGTTTAAGATTTTAAATATTCTATGAATATTTTTGTGGTGGGTGACATATTCAAAGGGTAATATGATCTTCCTCCCCTGCCCCCGCCCAGTCAGAACGGACTGAAAAACCCTTTCAGAACATCCTTTCTTCCCCATAGTCCTTTAGAAAAGCCTAAAGGAAGGGAAAGTAATGATGAAGCTCGTCTTTTGAGGGGATGCTGACCCTTTGCACAGGTGTGGGGAAATGCTCCAGTGCCTTTGTTTTTGAAATAATAAATCTCAGTCTCAAGAGTATTTAACTATGAAGGAGTGTTCTGACTGACAGAAGACATGGCCACCATGATTCAGCTGTAGTTTTCTTGGTTAGCTCATGTCTAACGCTTTCTTGAATTGCTCAAGGTCCCATGACAGCATGACTTTTGGTTGTTAGGTTTTGTGCATGACATGCTTGCATGTGTATGTGACTATGCATGCCTGTGCACAAATAAGGTGTCCTTCTCTGTCATGCTCCACCTTATTGCCTTGGGACAAGGTCTCTCCTTGAACTTGAAGCTGGGCTGGTAGCCAACAAGTCCCAGCAATCCTCATGTCTCTGATCCCCATAGAACTGGGGGTTATCCCCAGCTTTTGAAATAGATACTAGGTATTTGAACTTAGGTCCTCAAGTTTGTATAGCAAGTACTTTTACTGACTGAGCCTTCTCCTTAGCCTTATTTTTCTATTTTTAAAAATAATTATTTTTATTTTATTTGCATTGGTGTTTTCCCTATATGTATTTCTGTGTGGGGTGTCAGATTTTGGAGTAACAGACAGTTGTGAGCTGCCATGTGGGTTCTGGGAATTGAGCCTGAGTCCTCTGGAAGAGCAGTCAGTGCTCATAACCACTGAGCCATCTCTCCAGCCCCCTCATTTTGTTATTTTTAAAACCAAGGATTTAAATAGAAGGCAAAGGCCTTGGTTTTACACCAGACTGGCAGACTGAACAAACTGGAAACAAGACTTGTGCTATTTTATTTTTATCCCTCTCCCAACTTCTCAGGTCTCCTATGCTAACAAAGTGACTTGAGTTTCCCCTTAAAGAGGCAGACTATACCCCTTGCCTTCTGACTTTGAGTTAAACACATGTCTTGATTGGGTCAGTAACATGTGAGTGGCCAGGATGTGACAAGAGGCTTAAAAAATACTTGCTCAATTGAGTCTGTGCTCTTGTGTCTCTGCTGAGGTCTTAAGAATATGTCCAGAGCTGAGCATTGGTGGCACACACTTATACTCCCAGCACTCCCAAGGATCTTTGTGAGTTCAAGGCCAGCCTGGTCTACAAAGCTATACAGAGAAACCCTGTCTCAGAAAAACCAAAAATAAATAAATAAATAAATAAATAAATATGTCCAGGCTTGTCAGTTGGTCACAGAGGTGGGGGGGGACCACTCTTAGTCAAGTCCCTGATGCCCTTTCCCCACTTTAAGCAGTGAAAATGTTAAATTTTCCCTTCCCATCAGATGCAGCCTCCAAGGAGAAGGCAAGCTCCAAGGGTGAGGACCCGACTCACCGTACTCTCTGAGTGAGGCTGTCTTATCTCCCCTGAGCGTACCCTGAATCCTCAGACAGGGATGAGCCTAAGAAAAGCAGAAGCCTTAGCAGTCAGAAAGCCCACAGGGTCCATCCAGGACAGAGGAGAGAGAAATATCCAGGGCGAGGACCATAACAATTGTCTAGGACATGGGCCTTATGGGCAGGGGCCTTTTTTTTTTTTTAAGATTTATTTATTTATCATGTATATAGTGCATGCCAGAAGAGGGCACCAGATCACATTAAGATGGTTGTGAGCCACCATGTGGTTGCTGGGAATTGAACTCAGAACCTCTGGAAGAACTCTTAACCCCTGAGCCATCTCTCCAGCCCAAGGCAGGGGTCTTTTGTGACAATCCCCAAGGTTGTACCATGTTCCTCCCCAGGACTCATAAGAAGTGGGCATCAGTAGGAAACAGAATTGTGGGGTCCCATGGGCTCCCTCAGCAGTCTCAACAGCCAAGACCCCAGAGGAACAATGGTCCTGTGATGCCCACACAGGCTCAGGGAAGCGTCTTGTTCTTCATTCTCCTAGCACCTCTTCCTCCTAAGGAAGGTCAGAGTGCCTTCCAGAGACATGGGAGGATTAAGGACTTGGCCACAGTCTCCTGTGTCTCCTTTTCCCAAGTCCCACACAACCCTACACCCGTCTTCCCTACTCACCACCAGGACCCCATTGGTGATGACTTCAGATGCAGGCATCTGACTGTAAAAGATGAAGGTTTCATGAGCCATCATCCCCAACCCATGGCTATTGAGGACCAACACTTGGAATAAATGGATAGATACCAGCTCTAACTGGACTCACCTCTTTTCCAGAGTAAATTCTACTTGTAGCTCTTGTGAATCCTACACCGGGGTGAGCAAGGCATCAATCTTCAAAACCTTCAAAAATCTCAGGGATTGCCCCTACCTCCCACCTTTCTCAGCTCTAGGGCCTAAGGGATGAGTCTGGTACAGTGCCTCATGGGCATAGGGGAACAATAGCATTTCCATAAGAGTTTCATTCATTCAGAAATACATGCCAGGTACTGTTTCAGACTCAGCGGTGACCAAGGCCAAACCAAGATGGCTGCCTGACAGTGGTTTAGGGGTGGGTGGGGTGATCCTTTCCTGAAGATTTACTTACTGCTAACCCAGGTAGACCTCACCTGCTGGTTCAGAGGGAAGTTGTGTGTGTGAGGCTGGCCTGGCTGGAGACTACTCAGGTCAAACAGAAGCAAGGAGAGCTGATCACTATCCAGGACATCCTTGTCACACAGGGTAAGCTCCAGGACATTCTGGGGATAGGACTGAAGGATCAGAGTTGTGGAGGAACTCATTGGCCTCCATGCCCTGGCCCTTACTGGCCTGTACCTTCACAGCACCGTGGATCCGATAGTGGAAGGTTTCGTTCCACTCTGGGTCACTACAGTTAGTCACTGTCTTTGTCTGGCTGGGGCTAGGAGAAGCTGTGGGCAGCCACAGTTGGACATAGCAGTCAGCTTTGGACACTGCAGGTGAGAGGGGGAGGACTTGGCATCAAACTCTTCTTGTTGAAAAGGTTTCCTGGAGGAGGCTGGACTCTGAGACAAAGGAGCAAGGGGACAGGAGGCTACCTGCCTGAGGCAGGTGAGGGAGCTTTGGTATGCCTGGTTCTATCTTAGCCAGGTATACCTCCCACTCAACTGACAAGAAACCCTGCAGCTGCAGCCACAGTTCAAAGCACCATGGCAGCACAGACCATTGAGCAACTCCTTGAAATTGCCTGATTCAGGCAGTAAAATTCTGTGCCCTGTGTGAGCACCTCCCAGAAAGCAGGCATTGATGTGTGGCAACGAGAGCCTAACACACCCTCACAGAGCCTCCTGGGGTCAAGAGGAGGCTGGAATCTACACAACTTACCCCTCCAGTGCTCCTGCCTGCCTGTGCACCCCACACCAGGGCAGCCTCTCTTTATCCTACTCCAACTGAGCACCCTACATCAGGGCACCCCTGCCTGCCTGAGCACCCCTCACCAAGGCAGCCACCCTTTACCCTACTCCAACTGGGTATTTGTGCGAGTGGGCGTGAACGCACACATGCGCACACGCACACACGCACACGTACACGCGCACACACGCGCGCGCACATACACACACACACACACACACACACACACACACACACACACCTGAGAACACCCTAGAGAAAAGGAGGAGGTAGAAGTGAGGCTCACTCACACAGATCCGTTTGCTGGATGTTCCTAGCCCTCAGCACCTTCACCTGGAGGTCGTAATATGGGTGAGTTTCCTGCTGAAACAACAGAACTCCAGGAACTCAGTTCCAGAAAGCCAGGGACAGCCTGATCTCTCTCAAGTGTGTTCTGACTCCTTTGCCCCTGTACTTTGTCTTACCACAGAGTTTGCCTGGCTCAGGGTCACTTCTGCTCCTGTGCCAGGATCTCTGGGAAGCTTTTGCAAGGCCTTGGGTGTTGAGTGGTCAGGACTGGTGAGAAGCCTGGATCTGCTCAACGCTAAGTGCCATTCTGAGCAGCTAAGCTAATTAGGTTTTTATCATGGCCAGCCTGTAGCTGCTCCCTCCACGTGGCCTGAGCGCTGGGAGAATGTATTTAAGGATCTTAAACATTAAAAGAGAAAGTCAGAACCGACCGTACTCATGGGCTTCTAGGCAAGGGCTGGAAGACCAACCAGAGGCAGGGAATGGGAAGGCAAGAAGAGAAGCAGTCACCCAGTTTGTACTGGTCTGACAAGTCACTGGATTGAAGATTGGGTTAAAAAAAGATAATACCAGATTGCAGCCTTCTGGATGTCAATCAACCTCCCAGAACCCCAACAACTCCCCATCCCTTCTCCACCATAGGTTACATGGCTAGACTAGCACATTCCTGGCAAACCAACCAAAGGCAATGGTCACAGGACTTGCCATCATTACTTTCAAGAGCCAAGGCCTTGGCCCATTTCTCTAGTTTGAGTTTTTCCAGGTTGTCTGTGGTATGTTCCACCCTAAATCAAAACCTAGTGCAGTAGCTGGCTTAGTCCGTACAGGGCACCATCTCCCAGGACTCTGTAGTCAACACTCCCAAGTGAGATGAGTACATTACCCGACTCTGCCTCCATTGTGGTCCTCTCTTTTCTCTCTTCCGCAGCAACACTGCTCCAAGAAGGGCCAGTCCCTTACTTACTAGCCACTTGGGCCTGAGGGTCCAGGGCATGGCCAGCAGCCCGGGTCCCAGGAGAGAGCTTGCCTGCTTTCCAGAGTCACCCTCTGTCTGGCTACACTCACTGTAGCTCAGGTCTGGCAAGTAGCACAGGGTGGAGCAACTACTGTGCTGAGGACTAGGGCTGGGAGGCCACTGGGGCTGGAGGTGGGGTTTGAAGTGCTCCAGGAAATGAGTGGAGCCTGCTTTTCCCAGACAAGAGGCAAGTTTGGTTCCTTTCTAAGAGATTCTTGGGGTCCTGCTTAGCACTCTGATCCCCAACTTAGGCCCTTCTTAACAGAGCTAGTTGTGAAAAGCAGACACCAAGGGCCTCACCCCGCCCTTGTCATGGTCCTGTTTAGAGGGTAGGGCAAGAGCCTAGACATTCCTGTTTCCAAGTAGTCTGCATTAGCAGAAGTTAGGAGGTGATAGAATCAGGGCTAACCTCCTCTAGCTGGCAGAAATCCCCACACCATCCCTCCTTCCTTCAAGCCCCAATTTCCCCACAGCTCATAAGTAGAAACATGGGTATCTCTGGCTTAGGGTTTCTTGGGGACGCAAAAAGATTTTATGTTTCTTTTGGCCTTCCTCAATTATTCCCTTAACACAGAAGACCTGCTGCATGCTTTGACTGTACTATGCTCAAAGTCACCCACACCCTGAAAGGATTCCCTTCATGACCTTTCTTGGTGAAGTGCCTGGTGATTCAGGCATAGATGCAGGGCCATGGCCAGGTAGTATAAATAAGGACAGGAGAGAGGCAGGCCTCCCTGTCCTTAAACTGCCAGAGGCAAAGGCTTCAAAGAGCTCATGACCATATATGTGAGCCTCCAGCTGTGTATGTCATCTCCATCCCTGCTGTCCACAGTCATCTAGGTGGCTAGGCAGGAGCAGTCGCTGGGAAAGTAAGTTTCTAGGAGAGGGAATTGTTAGGAGATTCCTTTCACCTCTTTAACCACAACCTTTTCTAGATCCAGGGGTGGTAGTACCTGTAACCCCAGCACTCGGCATTCTGAGATAGGAGGCTGAACTCAGCCATATGAGGCCAGCTTGAGGTACAAGATGAGACCCCTATCACAATCATTCAGGTAATGGCCACTGTCTTGCCCCAGTCATACAGCTGGAGGCCAAAATGACATCCACAAAAGTGAATCAACTCCCAAACTAACAGGCAAGTTCAGACCAGAAATTCCAGAACCAAAAGGTGATGTAACTGCAATGGCCTGTTTCACCTCATGTGGATTGTAAGGTTGAGATCTGGCTCAGAGATCTGAATCCAGCCCCCTTGCTGATCCTGTGCATAGTGTAAACACTTCTGGATCCATAGTCTGAAGCTCTGGGCCCTCAGCAGGAGGGGAAGAGTACCAGCTGGTTGAGTGCTTTCGGGCTTAAGCCACATTCTCCTCTTAGAAGCCATTTCCCCATGTCTCAACAGTCACACCTCAGCTTAAAGTTCTGGATGGTTCTCATTGGCAGAGGATCTGCAGGGTAGCCAGCTCAAGGAGGGGGCATTACAGAAGGACCAAATTGTCATTTGAGAGCTAGGCAAACTTTATTTTTAAAACGGAGTCCCTCATTCCTGCTGATCCTCACAGGCCCCTTCTAGCCAGTTGCCTCGAGAGGAGGCACAAAGCAATGTTATGTTAGACATTTTAGATTATGTAGAATTCAGGGTTCCTAGTGTGATGACGTTTCGAAACGTCTATGCATGCCACACACCTACAGCCACACTTGCTGGCCACAGAGGGAGGCATTCGTGAAAGGAATGTTACTCTGATTTTCTTTTCATAGTTGCTGTCTTATCCTTCTCTCGGCTAAGCTATTACCCCCTTGTTATCATTTCCATTAAAGTCTTCAGCAGGGAAAAGGAGGCTCGAGGAGACTTGGTTTCTTGCTTGTGTTTATTGAAGAGCAGCCCTTCCACCACCATCAGGCTGGAGCTACTCCTGCTCCCCCTCCCTAGCCCTCTATGGAGTTTGAGAAAACAGAATTAAGTATGCAAACCATCCAGGGGAAAATATAGGCTTTATTCTACTGCTTCAAATACAGTCCATGAGAGAGGATGCTATAAGCTCACCAGGCAAGAGGACAGGGCTCATATGATGGGGCAAGTTCCTGTCCTGTGGGGAGTGGTCTGGCACCCCAGTGCTGCTCATGAGGAAGGTGCATTTTAAGCTGGTGCAGATGGGGTCATGGGCAACATTGCCTTTTTTTTTTTTTTTTTTTTTTTAAATCTTCTGTGTATGGGCATTTTGCCCGCATATATGTCTGTGCATGTGTGTGCCTTGTGCCCATAGCCTCCAATGCCAGAAAGTCCTGCACACCTCTTGCAGGCTCCCAGACAGGTTCAAAAGAGACAGCAGTAATCCTGCTTGCTCCTGCATCACTCTTTGCCATGCCTCACAAACACACATCTCACTACTGTCAGTTTCTGGTGATTTGTTCCCTGTGTGCAGTAGAGATCCACATTACCACCCTATCCTAGAGCAATCCTCCAAAAAAAAAAAGGTCAGGGAACAACCAATGATGGCCAGGAAAGGTCAGAAGGTGGCTAGGAAAGAGGAAGGTGCTCAAAGCACAAAGAGCTCACCCACAAAGGCTCAGCAACCTGTCCAAGCCACTGGTGAGTGGCTGGAGCAGGCACTACTACAGAGGTCCTGCCCAGGAGACCACATACCCTGTGCAGTGCTGGCCAGGGAGGTACCAAAGCCTACGCCTGCAGACTTGTGCTCTCCATGCACCTTAGTAGAAAAAGTTCAGCTCTGAGAACCTTCATACAATGTACCTGACAACCACTTATCAGTACACTCCTGGAAACCTAGACTGTGGCTTCCCATTTTACCTTATTTAAATATTAGTTACTCTCTTCCCCTTTAGTCTACAGAGTTGGAGAGCATGTATGGTGTAGCAAGAGAAGAAATTAAGGAGCAAAATAAATAGCAAAGAAAAGGAGACTGAAAACTAAAGGGATAAGCACAGAGAGTACTTAAGAGGACACAGGGCACAGCTCCTTGGAGAAACCACTGGCAGTATAGACAGTGAGCCTATTTGGTCAGTGGGGCTGTAGAGCTCTGGTACCAGGCTCCCATGGGACTCTCCAGGCTGCCATGCTGAGGGTGAGGGTCTTGTGAAGCTGTGCAAATATCATAATAGAAAACTCTCAGTCAACAACCCCATGGGTACAAACACTTGAGATGAAATCTTGTCCAGGTGACTGGCATACAAAGGCAAGACGGTGCATTTCCTCCTGTCCAAGGAGGGGTTAAATTCCTGGGATCGTCTGCAACATAACAGTGTAAGATATAACTAATCTTTTTCTAGGAAAAAGCCAGCAATGCCAGGTCACAAATCCAGTTAATTCAGAGATGATCCAGGGAGCAAGGAAGCCAGTGACGTCCAAATGAGGAGACTTGGTGGTAGAGGTCCCTGGTTCCTAATGTGGCTGCTCCTTCAACTCTCTGGGAAAGTTGAGCTATCCACTGCTGAGTCCTTAGGATTCTGTGCTCAGGTGTCGGCTGGGTTGACCTCTTTGGAACAGAAGTAGTGCACAACCACTCCATTTGGGTATCTTGCAAATGCACTGTGTGGAAGAATAGTTTAGAGGTGAGTGATAGAATAGTCTCCTCTAGCACCTGCAAGAGGCACCAGCACCAGCAGCCACCCAAACCCCAAAGAACAGCCTACTCCAATATCTCTGGAATGCTGTGGTGCCTCCTTTCCAAACAGCCAGAGCATGAACTATACAACATTCAAGTGCATTAAAACATTTTTGTTACTCTATCAGTTCAGGGTTGGGGGTTTGGGTCAGTGGTAGTGTGACCCTCAGTAGTGCTATCAACTAACCAACCAACCAGCCAGCCAGGTAAATAAATGGGCAAACAGAAAGCTTGGCACTGGAGGATGATGTTCAATGGAACATGTTTTGGGCTAGTTGTAATGAATGACAGCAAGTCAGGCCTCTGCAAAGAAAGAACTCTTCTAGCTGAGTAAGAAGAGGCAGCTTCTGCTCCTTCCAGGCCAGGGGGCTGACTCTCAGGCATGTCCTAACACAGAATAATGATTGTTGTAGAATACAATAGCTCAGGAGGTTGCTCCAGTCATGAGACAGCAGGTTTTCTCCCTCGGGCCGCTCATCCTGTCTACCTGGGTACAGGCCTATAGTCCTGGCACTGGGGTGTGGCTGAGGCAGGAGGGATGATCAGAATTTCAAATTAGCCTGAGCTATCCAGCCAGCCCGCATCTCAAGACTTTCTGTATGTCTCTTAAACTCCTACTGCTGACTCTCTGGCTCCTGTTCATTTTAGCTGCCTGAGGAACAGAGCTTTCTGGGCCAGAGTTCAACAGCTCTGTGCCATGTCAGCTCTTTAAACTATCGAAGATTCCCCCCAACAGATAATATGGCTTGCTCTCTCAAAGCTCAAGAACTCAATAACACAAGACAGCTTCTATCTGTGGTGGGTGTGAGGTCAGTGCTGTCCATGTGACAGAATCTAGAATCACCTGGGAGCTGGGCCTCTGACATTCCTGTGGGGGATTATCTTGATTTCATTAACCGATGTGGGAAGACCAATCTTGATTGTGGGTAGGACTATTCCCTTGGTAGGGACTGTGAAGAATGGAGAGGAAGAGCTGAGCAATAGGAAGCATTCACTGCTCGCTCTCGCTTGCTCATTCTCTCTCTCTCTCTCTCTCTCTCTCTCTCTCTCTCTCTCTCTCTCTCTTTCTCTCTCTCTCTCTCTCTCTGGTTTTTAAAGACAGGGTTTCTCTGTGAAACAGCCCTGGCTGTCCTGGAACTCACTCTGTAGACCAGGCTGGTCTCGAACTCACAGAGATCCACCTGCCTCTGCCTTCGGAGCACCGGGATTGAAGGCGTGCGCCACCATGCCTGGCCCTGCTCTCAGTTTCTTGGCTGCGGAATGCAATGTAACCAGCTGCCTCAAGCTCCTGCCTTGATCTGCCAGAATAAACCTCCCTCAAGCTGCCTTTGTGGCAACAGGGTAAGAAACTCAGGGCAG